CAGCATTATCATTAAATAAATACATTTGTAGCGCGCATAGCCACTGCCTTATTAGGGTGATGCTTCTCAATGTAAGATGCAACAGTTTCCCATGCTTTCAGCATTTCTCTTATTGAGCCAGAAGATTGTGTCTTTGCTGTTACCTCCTCCTCCTCTGACAAACTCTCCTCCACAACTTCTTGCTGTGAAACACAATGCAACTCCAAATCGTGCAAATCGTTGATGTAGACCGACTGTATGTGCGTGCTAGATCAGCCACGCTCACACCTCGTTCTCGCTTTTCAATGATTTTACGTTTCATTTCTACAGTTATTTTTATTCTCTTATGGCTGTCTTTTTGCGGCTTTTTCTTCAGGGACATTTTTGCAAGGGTTATTAAACTTTTCATAAAAAAAACACAAATATGGGAAAAGGTGCGATCACAAGTGACACTTAGATGCTACCGGAACGAGTGCTAAACACAGACTGATGTAGCAAGCGCACGATTCGGGACTTCCCCTCTCGTTACTCGTTATGCGAAACTTCGCTCGTTAAGCGAGTCATCACCCTACAATTTGTTTTGCTCGTTAAGCGAGGTTCTACTTTTCTCAACGTTCGATTTTAACAGGAATGGACCGAAGTCTCATTCCGAGGCACATTGAAATGTGTAAAATTTATTAATTCATTAATGTATTGCATGGTACGAAAGTAAATACACTTAACAGGTTGTCGTAGAGGTGAAGCCAGCTATAATGGCAGTTTTGTAAAATAACCCACAGAAAGTGTAAACGTGAGAGTTGGAAATGACCTGAAAGGACTGTTCGAGCTTTGACGATTATCTAGCTGCAGGCCAATCGCCCTTTTTACTTATCTAAAGTTGTTCCTGTGCTTAACTAATTAAGCACTAAGCCATGAAGGCATATGGAGGAGTTGATGCATACATCCACATTTTCTTGACCTCGGCACTAGCTAGAGCTGAGTGGTCAGTTTCACTTCCCGTCTGCTCTAACCCCCCCCTTCCCCGAAAAGAGCAATCGATACCCATTGGATAGGAGATTTGGTGGACCCAGAGCCGGTCTGGACAAGTGGAGAAAATTCTTGGCCCTACAGGAACTCAAACTCCGAACCCTCAGTTGTTGAGTCTGTAGCTAGTCGCTATACTGACTGCACTATCCGGCTGTATAAGTCAAAATACGACACCCAATAAAGAGAGTGGCTACAGGTGGACGGCTGGGATTCAATCATAAAACATCAGGAACAGTTCAGTCTGTAAGAGGTGGGCCAGGATTGATACTGACTTAATGGACGACCGGCGATCGATCATAAAGGGCGAACTGGAATGCCTCACTAGCTACTGTCTTGACGATCAAGGTTTGATTCCTGGCAGGGGCAACTGTTTTTCTTCTTGTCAACCACACCCACACTAGCTCTGGGGCCAACTAGCCTCCTATTCAAATGGTTAATGGGGGCCCTTTTTCTAGTGCTGACAAGGCTGAAGTGTGAAGCTGCATACTCACATCTGTCTAGCACCAGGATTAATATGAGAAGCTTTACCTCTACTTCCTCATATGTCATGGTGTGATGCTTAATTAAGCAGAGAAAATTTTGTGGGTGTCCTGTTTTTTCTTCCCACTGTTGTTTGAGATATTTCTCACCAACATAAATAATTTGCAAGTTATGTTCAAGATGGGTGCAAAACACATGTTGGTCTTCAAGAAGTTGCTTTGTTCAATTTTGGTCAAAATCAGAATATTTTGACAAATTGTAATAAAATTCCCTGATACTAAATTTGATGAAAATCTGTTCAGTGATTAAGTTATTTATATGCAGACAAACATGGCATAGATAATAGGTGCATTTTTTTGCAAATTTTCGTTGTGACAGTGACAAACATTTTGCATTTAAGGTGATTTAATTCAGTTAATTGTTAATAAATGTTATGAGATGTGATTTCAAGCTGTTTTTAAACTGAACAAAACAAAAGTGTGATGTGCACTGAAATTAATCAATCCAGTCATCCAGGCTCATGAGAACAGACTTATGAGACTTCATACTGCAAAGTGAACCACTCTTCGGTTTCTTATATCCTGAAAAAGGTGGCAGATTGTTCTTCTAAAATGTTCATACCAGACATAGGATTACACCACATTAAGTCCAAAGGTACACAAATTCTTCAGGAAATGGCTTACCCTTTCACAATTCATGCTTAGTTCCCTGTAGTTCTCAATTCTTTGGTAGCTAAAGAAGAAAATGTGAAACTGCACATACAATAAGCAGGTCCAGCAACACATTTCTTGCAGACGTCTCCCCAAAACTTGAATGGGGCTAGGTTCATGACGCTCAAGCAATGCCAAATGAATGAATTTGTAGGACGAGTAAGTTTCCAAAACTCTTGCAACACATGTACACTATAACTAATAAAATGAAATCCCAGAATGTATTACTCATTCTTACAAAAAGATGATATGCCTCACATAGTGTAGTGACTGGAATGTGGGTTGTATGAGTAGGGTTTGATTCCTGGCAGGGGCAGGAGTATTAGTCCTCACCACCATGTCTAGATTGGTTCTAAGTCCTCTTAGCCTCCTGTGTAATGGCTCTTCCCCAAGAGATACAGCAATCAGTGTGTGAAGCTGACCACACACTTCCACTGGGAAAGATAGGAAGACAAGCAGAGAAATATCTTTAGACCATCTATGGCTTCACAGTATGGTGCACAATTAGGCAATTACCAATTTACCCGCTAGCATGACCATCCAGATACAAGACATCTTATTTCAGTGACAGGTAATAACAGCAGCAGAGAAAAAGTATGACTCAGGCAGAGTATCAAATAACATGGGACAGCAACAAATATTTGTAGGCTCTATGCTGATCCATTAAAGGTAAAGTTATCCTTGTAACAGGCCATGGAGGCCCACAAGGTTGTGAGACGCGGAGGGTCCCACACTATCTAGACAATTGGCTCACAGAAAGATTCCTGGTACTCATTTCTGTTAGAGGCTGAGTTGACCTCAGGCACATAATGCGGCTGGAAGGATTGTCAGTTGAAAAATCCACTTCATCGAGACTAAAACCTGCAACCTTATGCTTGTAGCGTAGTGCCTCAACCAACTATGCTACCTTATGTGCCAATTTCATGATTACGGTGCCACTTTTCATGGGACACATCAACATTTTCATTTGAAAGCTGTTCACCAAATGTATATATGGAAATTCCCCAATCTGAACCTGAGAGACTACCTGTATGTGTTTGTTTTATTCATCACTTCCAGCAGATTCAAAGATTCCTTTCTTCCATTCACATACAACTATCAGGCTCATTCTCTCAGCAAGTATCAGCCAGGATGGACGTTTCTTAAGCAAATGCCAATACAGTACCTCACTAAGAATTTCTTCTCTCTTCACAGGAATGGTGGTACAGAAACAGTGTTACAATTTTTTGAAAAGAACTTTATTACAGTAATGCACTCGGTATTTGTGGGCTGGATGAAGACTATGTGACTGTCCATTTTCTTTTAAATACACATATTCATGTGAACACTGAGCCATCAACCAACCATGTTTGGAACTGTAAACATAAAAAGAGTTCAATTTACTATGTACATAAAAAAGCACTAATTGTGAGTGATATATTATGTATATTATGTATAAGTCAACACGAGCAAATTTTTGTAATGCTCTGAAGTTTGCATTTGCTTTGGGCCAAACCTGCTTATGTTAAAGAGTTCAGGTGTCAGAAATGACAGGTACTGCAGAACCAATTATCACTTTAAACATTTCTCAACAGAATTTATCACTTCAAACACACATTTAATGTGACTCTCATTTGAAGCAACACACGCATTCAGTAACAGCTGGTATGAGTTTCATTTAGTTTAACATAACAGCATGACTCATCCGAGCCAGTCTTGTATTGACTGTTCTAGTCTGTTACAGCAAAACAATGCTGGAGATGAAAAGAAGATGGTTAATGACATCATCACTGTACAATTTTGTTGTCATTTCCTTGGGTATATGCCAGGCTTGGACGGTGCTTGCAGCAAAGGGCAGCTGGGAATTGAGTTTGAAGTTCTGCATGGCCTTGTCTCAGCTTTCACACAAGAGGGTCTGTAAAGAATGAAATTTTAGAGTCAAAATAAAATCTCACCAATTTTTAAATATTCAGCATAATAGCTGCATCAATTTATTTCCTTTATGTAATATATGAAGGGTGCTCCATATACAATTCCTCCCATTTTTTTGTGTTAATCTGTAACATCTGAGCTGGATGTTGGTGGTGTCGTAGTAAAGGTCGAACCTTCCCCCAATGTACTATTAGCTTGGTTGTTGTGTGACAGATAGCAACAGCAGAGCAGTCTACCAAAATGGCGTCTGACATAGAAGTGCGTACGAAACAGAGATGTGTTATTGAATTTCTCACCCACTGATATCCATCAGCGCTTGCTAAAGGTGTACAAGCCCCTGAAAACCAGCAGCATAAAATTCTTTGGGCTGCTGTCGCAACCAGGTGGTGTCTTCCCTTTCTACAGCTTCATCATCAATGCCGACCCCTACTTAACATCCTCAGGACGTAAATGTTCCCTGTAAAGGGTGGTGACTTCCCTTTGCACAACTTTATCATTGGGAAAACTTTCAGCTGAAAGATTATGTTTAAGAGGGCCAAAAAAATGGAAGTTGCTTGGAGCAAGACTCATCACCTGTGACAATTCGGGCTAGCATATCATGTCCTTCATTGTGGTAGCCATTGAGATGCTGTAATGCTAGACCCATTCTTTGCATTTTGTGTTGTGGGGCCAGCATGCGCAGTACCCATCACGACCAGACTTTGTGAAAACCTAACCTGTCATGCATTATGAGGTAGGTCATGCTGTGTGAACAACCAATAGCAGTGGATGTAGTGTCTATTGTTACCCTTCTGTCACCTCCTGCTTCTGACAGTAGCCCAAAGAATTTTATGCTGCTGGTTTTCATGGGCTTGTGAAACGATGGGACAAGTGCCTAAATGTACAGGGAGATTATGTTGAGAAATAAAAGCATTTTTCAAATCAGTACTCTTATTTGTTTAAGTTCTATGTCCATTGGTAACTTACTGACTTACCCTCATATAAGAATTATGTCATCACCAACACATCATCTTATACTGCTACATGTTTCGGTCACATAAGACCATCATCAGGCAGTTGTACACGGAAATACGTAGTCATATAAAGATACATATCGTGTGAAAAGCATACTAATATCCATACACTACAACTCGTACATCATAGTAACTTGTCGTTGTGCTTCACAACCGGGCTTACTACGAAGAAAGCTTCCATAATAAGACCTTACAAACATACATGCCCAATTTCTACAATGTAGCAGTGAAACCTAAAATATTTAAGTTGGCATACAATTCTCAATGTATCATTGAAAACCTTTCAATATATTACAATTTGATATATGATATACCCTTATATTTGTCATTCATTTTATTTTATGTATTTGCTACTTTATTATAACATAAATTTGACACAAGAGTTTTATGTCAGTACATAACAGGACGCATGGCACCAACAAGGATCCATATTGGTATTTTTCAATGACTATGTATTTTTGCGTACAACTGCCTGATGATGGTCTTATGTGACCGAAACATGTAGCAGTATAAGATCAAAAGTAAAACTGTATTTGTTGTGTTGACAGTGTCATAATTCTCACACGCACACACACGTGCGCGCACGCACGCACGCACACACACACACACACAAAAATTGAAGTTTTAAAAACTCCATTTATGGCTATATATAAAGCAGGCTTTCTAATCGGTCAACATGACTAACTATCAAAATGACCAACTAACATTATACAAAGTTCTCTTGTATCGAATTTAACAAAAGCATGATGGAGTTCACGACAAACACAAAAAAGTTCTTTTATTAGCCTATGTAAATTATGCTTTATTATGGATCAACTGAACTGAAGACTGGAATTGCCTGATGACTTCTGATTAGTTTCCATGTCAAACTTTAAAACCCGAACAGTTTAGATGCCAGTATTAGGTTACAGATGCATACAAAATAACTGGGCATCTTCTCTGTAATGACAAAAACCTGCAGCACCTCCGTTAATCAACCAGCACGGCATGAACCGGTTTTTATCAGAAAAAGCAGTAATTATTTGGTCTTAAAAGCTTCTATTTGCATTTTACCAACAATGACAGTAACTTCTGGTTCTTACTAGGATTAGTGTGTTTAGGGATTCTTAGAGTTTTTTCTAGTAATGATTCATAATGATGGTTTTAAAGTTTTTACTGTATTATTCAAGGGCAAACCAAAACTGTCCACAAAATATTTGTATTTTTTTTTTGTAATGTGTCCCACTGCCAAATGCATACCCAAATGTGAGCACCGAACCTCCCTATGGCTGTAATGATTTAAATGACCTTCACAATTAAGCTGTCATTTACCACTAGCAGCATCAACAAGGCTGCTCCACTTACCACAGTGGTTTGCCTGTTGTTTAGGATGGGTGCCCCAATAGTTCATCAGCAAACATTTATTGTTCAGTCATTTCTGAACATGACAATCCACTGGTAACATTCTGCTGTGGCAAAACACTGTCACCAAGCTGAATGGTGAAAGTGAAATACGTCACAACAGGAAGATTCTGTACTCATGGTCGTATGTATTCAGCAGTGGGGCCAATCTCTCGCTCTCTCACACACGTGACCCCCCACACACAAAAAAGCCAGTGTGTGGATACTTTCTTATCCTCATACATGCTACTCTTAGTTATTTTTGTCAAATTTTTTCAAAATTAAAATGATTGCATTTATTAGAGTTGGACAATGTCAGTAAATAATACGGAGTCTCAAGCAGATTTCATATAGCAAAGATTTCTAGTCATAACAGCTCTATCATTATCATTACTGCTAATTCATTTTGTGAACTTGCAGTATGCAGGTCCTGAAATGCCATTACAATGTTTGAGAGAGACTTTACAACACTTACAGTGGCACTGCTGTAATGGTCTCCTCTTGTATTATAAAATATAATGTGTGCGATGTTTAAGCAAATTAAATTTAATAACCTTACACCCAAAACATGCAGAATAAAACTTCATAAATGCAATAGTGGTATAAAATTATTAATGAAATAGGATATGAGAGAACCCCTGTTCTAATTTTCACAGTACAATTCAAATGAGTAGAAAGTCTGTACTTTAACAATTCCATCTTCAAGTTCACACAAAAACTCCTGAAACTGACTCCCTCAACCCCTTCTTTGTCTTTTATTCAAAATGGAGAGGACGCCAGTTTGTATTGTGCAGAAAAGGGGAGATATGGAAGATTAACACAGCACAGATAGTTATTAAATATATTACATTATTGTATTTATAAGTTTCACTGCATGTTCTTCACTTTTATATCAAACCAAATCCACTAAAGCAAGAAGTTGAAATAAAATAGTGCAATATTTTGACTTGATACCCTGACTATAAATCAATAATCAGATAAAAGCTGGGCATTTAATGGGTACACGAAATTTCTGATATTTACAAAAATGTTCCTAAGAGTCAACGAAAAAAAAAAATTTTTGTATTTGAAAGAAAAATTACCGTATTTACTTGCAAATTTCTCTGTGGTATTTTAAGAAGGGAGACATTTATCTTTCTCCTCTGTTTCAGTGTCCTCTGTGATAGTTCACATCTGCATCAGTCTAAAATATTATTTACGTATTCTTTGACATCATGAATTCTAAAGATTTGTGATTGCAAACAGAAACCTGCCAAAGAAGGTAATCAATCCTATACTTGCATTATCAAAGCCCCTATGTCTACATACTGCCTTGGCCTCTTTCCAAGTTTACAACAGAATTATACAAATACCAGGCTCATTTTTATACCACTCCTGTGTTTCCAGCTGGTGTCTACAATCAAAATATCCTCCTTGGAATTTAGTGCTTCTGAAAAACACACATGTTATCACAACCACAGTATTTTCAGAGCATGACTATAAATAAACAAAAAGCTCATTTCAAATAACCTTTAATTAACACATCCTTGCATTTACCAACATTTTTGAAATGATCTAAAAATGATGTTCAAAACAGCTAAGATTCATATTTCAGAATGAATGAAGCAAGTCTCGGTGTGTGCAATTGGGCAGTTAGTTCAAATTTGCCATTAAAATTCAGTTTAATCTCAACTCCCTTACAGGATATTTGGTTGACAATTTTTCTTTATGAATATCAGCATTTTCTATGAAGAAATTCAACAACATAAACTAAAATACTTTTAGTTCCTGCATTTATCTAATTTATTCCTATACTATGTAATATTTACAAATGAAGGGTTACACTAACTCAACTAACTTCACGGAGCTGAGCCCTTCTTGAGATGCCCCCAACTGTGCAGCTACTTAAATCTTACCAGAATTTTATGGAAACTGAAGGTTCATTACCATGTTCACAAGAGTGCCCCACTGGTCCCTATCCTAAGCCATATCGATTCAGTCCACAGCACCCTGGCCTATCAGATCCATTTTAATATTGATCACCCATCTATGTCTTGGTCTTCATAGTGGTCTCTTTCCTTCTGGCTTTCCCACCAAGAAGAGTTACACTACTTACGCAAATTGTTCAATGAGTCACCTCCACATTCGATAGATGATATTACAACATGTATAATCTGTTTCTGAAAAACACAGATGTTGTGGGAGAAGACCATGAATCTTATGGACTAGTATCATGGAAGGCAGTGATTTGTAAACTCTTTTTAAATTCTTCCATCGCTGTATCACACTAAAGTTTCTTGTACCATTCTGAAGCCGATGATATAAGCACTGCATTAGAAAAGAGGGCTCAAATGTTAAGCTTGGAGAAAGGGGGTGGGTGAAACAAAATCCATGGCCTGTAGTGTGCAAGCAAACTACACCAACCGAGCAACCCCTGCTTGTCGAAGTTAGTGCCAACTTTTGCAGACAGAAGGTGTCATGTGGTCAGCGCAACAGATCCCCACGGCCGTTAATTTCGGGTTTTCTAGACTGGAGTTATTTCCTTGAAATAGCTCCTCAATTATCCTCATGAGGCTGAGTGGACCCCATTCAAGACACACTTCTTCTCAGAAAATCTGGCAGCACCGGGAATCAAACTCAGGACCTCTGGATCTGTAGGCATCAACTCTGACCGCAAACTCAGGACCTCTGGATCTGTAGGCATCAACTCTGACCGCTAGACCACAGAGGTGGTCAGAGAAGGAGGAACGGAGAAAATCTAGTTCTTATCAAGCTGTCAATCACATATGCAAAATTAACAAAGAAATATAGAATATACAAGATGTATCTCTGACAATATTCCATTTTGATGGAAATAGCTTTATATTTGTACTCCACAGTACAATCTTGCTGGGACTGCTTCAGCTACAAAATTTTCTATTTTATAATAAATATTATCTTTCATTCTTGATCAATGCCTCCCTTTCTTTCTATCCCTTCATCCTCCCTTTTAGCCCGTGGCACTGTCCTAGATGGTTTAACTGCTTTTTATGAATGAAAACAGTATATTCCAGACACCAGTGTAAAAAGTTACCAATTTTTCTCATACTTTGCAATACTAATGTCTACTTCCTATTTGTGGTGACTGTGGACTGGTAGAAAAGAAGCATTAGAATCAGGTATAGGCTTACTTAGGGAGACGAATAGCTCAGTCAGTATGACAGGCAACAGGCAATTTATGGAAGGGGCAATATTTTTCTCTTTTACAGTGTCCAGACCAGCTGTGAGGGCTGCACAGCCTCCTATCTGATGGGTACTGGGGTCTTTGCCCAGGGTAAAGCTGACCACTCACTTCCAACTAGTGTCAAGGTCAACAATGGTGAAACTCCCCATATAACTTCATGGCACAGTGCTTAATTAATTAAGCATAGGAACAACTGTGTCTTTACCTTACATGCATGCTTAGTTCTCTCTTGTTTCAACAGTTCATATATGTGCTGTTATGTTCAGCCAAATGATACAACATCCTGATTTTTCACAGCCACTTCATTTTATTATACTTCTGCAGATGAAAGTTTCACAATTCTTGCTGGGCTTCACAGCTACAACAATTTTCTTTTTAGCAGGGTACTCAGAAGTCACGCTTAAGTACGCCCCTCCTGCTGAAGTAATAACTAAACATGTGGTCATGTTTATAACAATCTGAAAACCTTTACGAATCCAACGAACAGTGCCCATCAGCACTGCTGTCTGTTTCTTCCACGATACCTGTGTATAAATTATATGCATGTGGATGCTGAATATTACTGAGCCCACATTTCCCGACTACATCCGCTCCATGTACCATACCATTATGAAGCCTTGGTTGCAAAAAATGTTTATTATTATAATACAGTTCTGTATGCAGAATATACCCTTCATTTACTTACTCATGGAGCTGAGCCTTCTGGAGGAGCTGCCAATTCTGCAGCTACTCAAGAATTTCCCAGCATTTTATGGAACCCGAAGGTTCATTACTGTGCTCACAAGAGACCTCCACTGGTTCCTATCCTGAGCGAGATCAATCCAATCCATCCCATTCTGTCTCTCTAAGATTCATTTTAATATTGTCCACCCACCTACACCTTGGTCTTCCCAGTGGTCTCTTTCCTTCTGGCTTTCCCACCAATATCCTATACGTATTCGTCTCCCCCATTTGTGCTGCATGCCCTGCCCACCTCATACTCCTTGACTTGATCATTCTAATTATACTTGGAGAAGAGTTCAAGTTATGAAGTTCCTCATTGTGCATTTGTCGCCCCCATTCCTGCTACATGCCCTGCCCACCTCATCCTCCTTGACTTTATCATTCCAATTATACTTGGAGAAGAGTTTCAAGTTATGAAGATCCTCACTATGTAGTCTTCTCCAACCTCCTGTCACTTCATCTCTCTTTGGTTGAAATATTCTCAACACCCTGTATCAAACACCCTCAGTCTTATGTTCCTCCCTTCACCCTTACACTGCTGTGGTCGACATATGTCGATCTCTGAAAAACACAGCATCCTTGATGCGATCGACAAAACCTGTATGGCGACTTAGTTTCAAATTTCAAGTTTCTTTGCACCAATCTCATTCAAACTTGCTGGGTGCACAGAGTCATCTATTGGGAACGTAATGAAGCATCATTCATTTCAATGGCTGCACTCTTCTGCCGTCTAGCTTAAGAAGTGTAAAAGGTTGCATCTGCACAGCGAGGCACGCGTTCCGTAGTCATGTGACTCAGGTATTTCACAGGGCTAGCAAAAATGGCTTCGTATAGTGCATGGTGCTTTCTATAATAGTTTTAAATAAAGTTGTGAACTTTGCTCAACAAGTGATGTAGTGGTAAGACTAGGATAGTGAATTATGTATTTTTTTGGCCATCTTGGACAACCCTGATTTAAATGGACTTTCCCCCTGTGAAAGATACTGCATAATTCAACATTTTTGCAACTTCTGCTGCCTGTTCCCAGTCTGAGGTAAGATTAGTTACATTTTATCACAATTTTTCATACTTTGCACCTAAATTATTTATAAAAGATTTATTAAAAAATAATTCAGCACAGAGGGTACTAAGAGTTACTTAACATACTAGCAGTGAAAGGGTTAATGTCAGAGACCAAGTTTCACACCCATACAGAACCACAGGCAAAGTTATAGTTTTGTATATTCTAATTTTTGTGTTTTTGGATAGGAGACAAGAAGACAAAAGGTTCTGGACTGAATGGTTGCAAGCACTGCCCAAGTTCAATCTCCTCTTAATTTCCTCATGAATTAGGTTTCGATCTGTTATCGTTGTTTCCAAATACCTGAACTGTGTCACATTTTCAAAACATCTGTTTCCTATCTTTATGTCATGAGTTTTCCCTGCATTTTGGTGATGAGACAGCAACATATACTTTTTCTCTGTGGAATTATCCATGTGTACTGAATAAAGACTGTTCTGTTCTGCTCTTCTGGGTTATGAAAGCATGTAGTCGGGAAAGTGGTTACCAATGTTTCAGAGGAACGTCATACCTCCAGAATATTGGTAACCAACCACCAGATTACATCACCTCATAACTCAGATCAAACTGTAAACCTTTATCATTGTGCAAATCTAAAATACTATACAAGAGGCTGGACTACAGAAAAAGCTCACGTCTTAGTGTTTTTCTTGGGCTTAATCAGGAGTTTAACCAAATGTCAACGAGAACACTACACCAAAATTCAATTTTTTCTCACAGTTACAGACATAACTTATTTTAGCACAGAATTTGGCAGAGACTTGATGAATTCTTTACTATTTTTAATTCTGGTACATCCATCTGTATCCACCACAATCAGGTTCCACAGTGCTACTGGGAAACACAGAAACTTAACATCAGTTAACTGCAGTTGATCCTTATCTCCTGAGTCATCAACTAAGTCAGTCAGTCAGTGAATCCATCCATGTTCAACTAGTCGATGCAGACGATGGGTGAGTGGGCATTAAGTTCTCAGATCAATAACACTGCTGTACTCTATTATATATACATATATTTTAATAAGAAAATATATATAAAAAACTCAAAGGCATAAATGATCATAGTAGGTGGGTCAGTAACTGACTGCTCCACAAATCAGTGAACTTTACAATATGAAGAGAAGACACTTTAAAAAACACAGAATTACACAAGTAAATACGGTCTATTTTCACCCGTCAAACTTTAATGGTGAATGCTTACTGCATGCATTTTACACGACAACTGTGACCACTGAGAATGGATTTCAATTCAGCACAAAATTAAATAAATTTCCAAATAAAGTTAACATTCTTATACAGAATGTATAAATTCATTAGTGTACTCGTCCTACCCACAATTCGAGTACCCAACTAACGCTTACTCAGCACTTGCTTCATTCACCGAGACAGGGAATGGCTGCGTTCTCGTCCCTCGTCGCCTGCAGCCCGGAAGTCATCTAGCCTTTGGTGTGGTGGAATTTTGTCAAAGAATGGGTGATGTAAGGCTTCTCCCAACGTCAAACGTGAACTAGGTTCATACTCTAACATCCGAGCTATCAGATCAAACAGCTGGCGATGGTCTTCATCCTCTGTGTTCTGGTATCTCTGTAAAAAACATTTTAGTTTGTACACTTCCTGATCGAAGAAGGGTGGAGAAAATGCAATCAATCAAAATTAACTACAGTGTGCAGGTTTGATTGATTTCATGTACTCTTTGCACAAAGTGCAAGATGAGTGCATAAATGTACGGTTATGTCTGCCAGGATGTTTTAAACTTGAGAAATGCTTAATGGGTCTTGATGAAATTTGACATGCATGTTATTCCACTGGGGGGGGGGGGCAACAAAAATTCAGTTTTTAATTTCATACAACTGGTAATAAGAATGATGTGGAGGCATGAACTTACGAGGTGGAAGTTAACATTAGCACTCCTACCAAAATCTGTTAACTCTGATATACCATACTGTCACGTGCATGAGTGACAATAGCCAGGTTTTCAACCGATTGTATTTATTGGATTCTTACAGATCATAACTATAAATAATTATGAGTTTCAATGAGCTACATTCTCCAAAGTTCAGTGTAACTACAGTACACATAAGGTCTTCTAGTCTTCCCTAGCTGTTGCTCAGTAGCAGCTTCCAATGGTAGATGTTCCCCTTACTCTAGGTTCCCAAACTGTCCCCAGCCTTAGCTACAACTCTCAAATAACTCAACTTGTCTGACTGTTTGACTGCAGCCCCCAACTTGCACCAGTTATAAAATCTTGGCTCGGACCACACAGAAAATGCCATCCCCCATTGCTGTAGTTCAACTGCTGCCATGTGAACATGTTTGCTTATGAAGCTGTTACTCAGTAACAGCTACTGAATATTCACTCATCTCATGGTCACTGTCCCACAATGGGTCTACATGCCACAATATTAAGCATATTAACCATATTACCAACGAGAACCTTTATCATTATAGTAACCTAAGGCTAATTTTTTTTAGCTTTATAAAATGTACCTACACTCTGATGCAAATTCAGGAAGTCAGAATGTAGGCAACACACAGAGAAACTACGTGAGCTGGTATAACATGCATCTTCTCAATATTACAATGCTGTTGATGGTGTGGCATGCCCTGGAATTTTGATTTCTCTTCCATTATAAAATGGATTCTACCAATGAGTTAATCAAAATTACTTAAATAAATAAATGGATGCAAGACAAATAATCTACATAGGTACAGTTTGTCATTAGCCATGTCTCAAAATATGATCAATTTTGGTGAAAGAATTTTGCATATCTCAGCATAATTTCCTGTATTATGGGAACACTCTCTCATACTGCTTCAAATACAATTTTAAAATGTTAGGTTTTATGAAGTGATTAGCAAGATTATGTCTTCTGGGGGTATGGCACTATGTAGTTTAGCAGACGGGAACCAACAATTCAGAGGAACTAGTTGCTCCAACTTCTGGGTATAAAGGTAAGACATGCAGGGGAAAAATGGTACAAGAGAAACCAGTACTGTAACTACTGGCAAACCAATAAAAACATGTTACTAAATACAATCATACAGCGCCAAATGATAAGACGACGGATGATGAACTGGAAAGATTTGGAATCTGTCCATGGCCTAATCAAGGTACAGCATTTCCCTTAAAGGGCTGAGGAAAACCATGAAAATCGTCACAGTTACAAGTCTTAAGCATTACCTCCACACCAACAAGTTACACTAAGCAGTGACATACACCATATAACTACTGATACTATAGGCACCATCAGCATTATGTATCTGTTGTTACACATGACACAAAACATGTGAGGCCATGCTCATTCACATTGCCAACAACATCACCAGACTTTCACATACTTAATCAATTAAATGACTATTATTTTAAATGCATGCAGACAGAATGTAACAATTCCTAACAGGGTGCAGATAGAGAGCTGAGCTACCAACTTCCACCTCACAGTGCCTGGAGCTTAAGCTATCAGTCACTTGGAAAACATGTACATACTACACAGTTGGTGATAAAGATTCAAACATGGCCATTACAATCAATAAATATTTAGTCTTTTAATGCAAAATTTCACTTGTGAAACATTTTTTCCATGTATGCTAAGGCGTGTTGTTTGGAGGGCACATTTACATTTTAGATCTTGACTGTATTGGTTTCATAAAAAGCTAAAGCATATGCAACAAACTTACATGCAGTGGCTTGCAATTTTCACGAACATATCGACCAGCAGAACTCTTCTCATCCCAGTCCAACTTCCCATGGTAAAAGTATTTGGTCTTGGTTTTTCTTGCCATTCTAAGGGAACAAGTTTCAAATGGTATATATGTATATCAATTACATGTAGCATGCAAAGGCTAATTACTGTATTTATCCATGCACAGGTCACTATTATGTACCTCATTAGTTTCAGCTACAACTAGGTGTTTATCACCTGCACTAGCATTAGTGAAGTGTGGGGATAATATGAAATCTTTTCAAGAGTCTTGAAGTTAAAACAAAACATGGCAGACGGAATAAAGTTCGACACCACTGCAAAATTTGGGGCTGATGGTACCAAAAGCACCTCTAATAAAACAACTGCATCTGGGTGACAATTCCAAGGCATAACAGCTTTAATATTTTGCATGAAAAGTATCAGCCACTGTGCTGAATATACGAGGATGTAGTTCCAAGCAAGCTGGAGGACACATATCAGAACACACACTGTGTCAGCCCTACTTTTTTGCAGGACAGATGTAACTGAGTTAAATATATTATCCCATTATATGTTTCTATGAAAACTGCATCTGAAAGTGAAACAATGCAATGTAAGTCGAACATCACCCAGTGCTGCAGAAGTAAAGATCTGTTCTAGCAGCAGAATAAGTTATCTGAGAGGTAAATATTCTTAGACCACTCTAAAAATACAGTGTGAGAGCATAAATGATATTTACTCTGAAACACTTGTGAAAGACACAACATATGAACATTTAGACACTAACTATAATTATCCAATTAATTCTACCACTCAGAGGTGTTTGATATGCATATTACTGTTAACTACCCATCAAGTTGGTATTCTGCTTCTACCGACACATTTTGCAGGGAAAGCGTTTTCCATTTACACATAAACAAAGAACCCACCTCACAGAACAGTCTATGAAATGCATAAATGGATGACTAAGGAGGTGAATACAATCCAAATTATGTCTGATAGTGTATCTACACAGATTTCACATATTTGGTTTTATTAAACCATGGGGTTGGCTTTGCTTTGGCAGAGGCATTGCCCTTTTGACTGCAGTGCCCCCAGTGGCAAATCACTGAACTTTTATGCACATGCTTCAATTCAAAACTGACAGCTAGAATCAATGTCTGAAAGTTTGGATATATTAAACAGTTTGTGCTCACCCTATATGTACTCATACATTCTTTTGTTTAAGTTTCTGTTTCTAATGAGTCTGCAGATTCTTCTATGTATATAACCATATAATCAGCCCATATTTTTGACAATTTAGTGTAGAAGCATACTGTAAAAATTTTCATTCCGAAAACTGGGCCTTCTAGCATTTCACGTACATTAACATGAAAACTTTCTTCCGTGGTTGATTTAGTATGCACTGGAAGATTTCTTTATATAATAAAATTCTGCAACATGCTAATAAGGGGGTGAGCCTGGCAACTTTAAAATATGGCATCTAATATGGGGCTGACAGATGTACACACATTGCAATATTTTGCATATAAAAATGATACAAAACTACTCTTAAGGTTATTATAGCCCATGTCACTATTTTGGATATTTTGTAAACAAGAATGAATGTTTGCTACAACAGCAACTTCTCAGAAAGCACATTTCAATATACTTTCCACTACACGATATGGTAATCAACAGCTACTTTAAAGACCGAGAGAGGAACACCCTGTTCAAAGTGCTCACAAACCTCTTTTTTAAAATTAAAAATTGTAAGTTGCATTTTAAAACTGTCTTGTATGTCAAAAAATTTTAGTTGCTGATCCATAAAAATCAAACGATACTCAATAATTAAAATTGCACTGCATTCTAACACAGTGAAATTAATAGTTACCTGTATGGAATGGGTCCAAGAATCCTTTCCATCATGGCAAGGTGTTCTCTGTTATCATGAGTTTGGAATAATGTTATACCCAGGTACAATTCAAAAATTATGCAGCCAATAGACCAAACATCACATGGCTGTGACCATCCTAGTTCTGAAAATGAAAACAGATTGTTACTGAAACCATAATGGATGATCTGTACACTCACACAGTTACTTCTTAGCTTGTACAGTCACAAAGGTTAGTTGCACAAACTGTTAACCCAACTTTGTTAAGTTAGTTTACAAGTGAAGCATGACCTTAAGCATTGTGGACTTGTTTGAGCTAAGAAATGTCTGCATAATTTCACTGACTACAAGGAGAAACAACAGACACTTGTTAAAGGTCAACAGCATATAAGAGGAGGAACTTACAAATACAAAAGATTTTAACACATGAACTATTACCACACTGATATATTGGGTTTCTGGACTTTATCCATCGTCCTAGTTTTTAAGATAACAAAAACACGACATTTCGGAAACTGGATCTGTTTCCATCCTCAGGTGAAGGAAAAGGGGAACACCTATTCTGTTGGGTCCGTTAGAAAGAGCTAGCCTCAATCACTGGACCCACTGATTGAGGCTAGCTCTTTCTAACGGACCCAACAGAATAGGTGTTCCCCTTTTCCTTCACCTGAGGATGGAAACAGATCCAGTTTCCGAAATGTCGTGTTTTTGTTATCTTAAAAACTAGGACGATGGATAAAGTCCAGAAACCCAATATATCAGTGTGTTATACACCATCGTCAGAATCCTATAGTAACTAAACTATTACCACTTTAAGATCAACTTAAAAATCAAAATAAATGGTAACAGAAATAGAAGATGTAATATGATTAATGCAAAAGCCTCTCATTATATCATATTGTGAGAACATTCAATGAAATATACATTCCACTAAACAGGCTACTTCCTGAGGATACATCAGTACAGATCTTTGATGTTTGTATCAAAATCAGGCCTGGGAAAGAATGACCACGGATTTTTCTGCACTCATCTGCCCAGCCTGTGTGCCTTCCCCCATTCCTGTCAAGTGTCACTTGTATTCTGGCTTGATTTCCATCAACTACAGACTCTCTCCCTCTGTTAATGGGATGGAGGGAGGGTGTGTTATGTGAATATGGAGGGGAAGCTGAAAGCTGAATTTTAACCCCCACTACCCATATTCATTCTTTCCCTGATGTTAACACCACTACCCATATTCATTCTTTCCCTGATGTTAACACCACTACCCATATTCATTCTTTCCCTGATGTTAACACCACTACCCATATTCATTCTTTCCCTGATGTTAACACCACTACCCATATTCATTCTTTCCCTGATGTTAACACCACTACCCATATTCATTCTTTCCCTGATGTTAACACCACTACCCATATTCATTCTTTCCCTGATGTTAACACCACTACCCATATTCATTCTTTCCCTGATGTTAACACCACTACCCATATTCATTCTTTCCCTGATGTTAACACCACTACCCATATTCATTCTTTCCCTGATGTTAACACCACTACCCATATTCATTCTTTCCCTGATGTTAACACCACTACCCATATTCATTCTTTCCCTGATGTTAACACCACTACCCATATTCATTCTTTCCCTGATGTTAACACCACTACCCATATTCATTCTTTCCCTGATGTTAACACCACTACCCATATTCATTCTTTCCCTGATGTTAACACCACTACCCATATTCATTCTTTCCCTGATGTTAACACCACTACCCATATTCATTCTTTCCCTGATGTTAACACCACTACCCATATTCAGTTTTTCCCTGATCTAAGTACAGTATTTCAAACTTCTGCATACACTTCACATTCAGGCTATATGTGCAGACCACATAACTTCACAGATTTGAGTACCATTTTTAAAAAATATATACAATTTGTTTTTATGACAACAAAACCAACCATGTTTAACAATCACACAAGAAATGGAAAACATTATTTAACTTAATTTTTGGCATTTTGCAAAATACATGAGATAATTAGTCTTCAAACTGAATGTTAACATGCAATTTCTCAGATTATTTCAATATGACTTGGGGGGGGGGG